AAGAGCTGTGCAAAATTGTCCGGGCGGGAGGAAGGGCTCTGGGTCACCGCAGCGAGGGGCTGACATATGGGCTATAACGCACGGGCGGTTGGGAGAGGAAGCTGGCTCGGCGCCCGGCTGCTTAAAGCTTTGCCTTCGTAGCATCAGCACAGGACAAGTTCGTCAGTGAAAGGGTAAAGGATCAGCCCATTTCAGCTAATGTTTGGGCCGCTACTGTAAGCATCTCTGAGAACCCCAGACACAGATCCTTGCATGCAACTAGGGCAAATTCAGCATTACTGACGTTTCTAACATCGCTGGGTGTGGTTTCTTAATTTTTTGTTTTAATAAAGTGAAAAGAGAGAAAATCGTCTTCATGGTTGTTTGAATACATTATAGTTATACAAAAATATATATCTTTCAAGGCCATGTCTCTCCACACCCTGCCAAATGAAACAGAAAATAAAAAAACCATTGTTTTACATTTGCTTATGTTTCCTGTGCCTTACAGCTTGCACTGTGGATCCCTTGGCCAAAATCCATCATGGTAATGATTTAATTTGGGAACCACACTTCACCTTTCTAAAAATGAGGAAAACTGAGAAGAAGAGCAACTAAATTGTGCTGAACGAAGAGCTAAAATGACTCCGTGAACTCAAATTAAAGAAACCGTGTTGCCCAGAGAATGGATAAAATCAAATATTATAAGCCTGCCTCTACCCGGCAAGCTCTCTCCTGGCATTTCAGCCCTATTCTACAATCTGGACCTTTTCCAAAGAGAGAGCAACAGCTCATCAGTCATATCTTTTTTCCCCAGGCGCTTACTAAGAACCAGGCACACACACAAAAATAAAAGTATGTAGAAAACACCTACCCGCTTTTGTCTGTGTCCGTGTTTTTAAAGCATTGGGCTCAAACTGCTGTGCAGGAGGGAACCTCAAACTGCTGCAAAACCAAAACAAGACAAACGTCCCTAAATGGGGCAGAAACAAATCTTAAGGACCCGTGAGTTAATGAGACAAGATGTGCAATAGGTGCCTTCACCTGAAAACCAAGAGAAGCAGCATGACACGGCAGCTCTGTACTTCTCAGGCTGCGCGCGCCCATGGCACCAACCCTGCGCTGTGCCCAGAGTCCCCTTCCGCAAGCCAAGCGCCGCGTTTGCGCTGGGAGGACCAGCGCAGCGCAGGTCGCAGGGCTGCACCTAGCCGGGCACCGCTAAGGGTGCAGGGGTGCGAAGCCCTGTGCAGCCTCCAGCACCCAACCGGGGGGGACGTGGCACCCGCTGCTGGGCTGAGATCTGCCCCCCTGTTTCCAGCCTGGCCCCGTGGGCCGTTGCGTCTGAGCGGATCCCGCAGCCAGGCTCCGTCCCGGAGAAGGGGAAGCAGCTGGAGTTGCAGCCGTTGAAGCACAACTTGTCCCTCAGCCGTTTCAGACATGCTGGTGCAGCGCGTGCACCCCTCAGGCTGTGCATGACCAGCGGCTCCAATAGCAACCAGGGACACCAGCCAGGCCAGTTAGAAACGGGCCAAGCGAAAAGCCTGGGGCCAGCGTGCGCAACCCTGCCTAGGGGGGTCAGCGCCGCCGGCTGCAAGCTCTCCGCGCACACTTCCCAGTGCAGAGAGCCCACAAGGCTGTCAGATTAATGCAAAACTGCAAGGATAACAGCACTCACAAAAGCTGGGTTGCTGAAACGCTCTGGAAACCTACTGCAGCACACAGCTGGTGCACAGCGAAATGGTAGAAAAAAAAAAAATCTGACTAGCCAGAGAAGTAAAAAAAAGTCCCCAGTAAACTCAGCCTCAGGGAAATATGGTTGAAAATTTTCAACCAGTCTGGTAATAAAATCCAGGGCTCCTCAGTGAACATGAGTGCAGACCCTTGTAGCGGTGGCAGGTCTGTGAGTGCCGGCACAGTATGCAGGGAAGCACTTGCTGCTGCCAACGCTTGCAGCGGGCCCCCGGGCTCCTGTGCTAGAGGACTACCCTCTAGGTACCCTCTAAAACTACTACTAAAATCTGGGGCTCAGCTATAAATCATGACTGTGCCTTGCAAGGTGACCATATACCAGCAGCTACTCCTCTGTCAACACCTCTGCTCCTTTTTATGTTTGTCCAACATCAAAGCTGCTGGTTTTGTGAAAAGAAGCCACTGGTGCCACTGTCAGCCCTTCGCCACAGCTGGAGAGAAGGAGCAAGATCCCATTTTTTGTGGTGCGTTAGCAACAGATTCTTGGAGGTTTTTTCTCCCTCCCCCCCCCACCAAATTCCCGTCCACCGGACTGCAGAAAGTCATTTAAACCCAGAGGGATGCAAAGCATCCTTTTAAGGCCTTGTCTGGCACAAGTGCCATTATCCCTAGCAAAAAAAGGAAGAAGTAGGGATGGAATAAAAGGAAGAACTGTTGAACGGACTTCGGCTTCCGAAAGGTCTTTCGCAAGGTCCCTTTACGAGAAGATATTAAGGATATTAAGACCATGCTCAGATGGCATTAGTAGGTCACCCCCCCCCTTGTGTTTTGGGATTGCTTTC